TGGGGGGGGGGCCATCTCTGTGCTTTGCTCTGACCGCCCGTGTCTCACTACAGGAGTTCCCCTGGCCGAGCCCCCCCGTGCGGTGCTGGTGACTCACCGTGCGGGGGAGCGGCGGCGGAAGCCGTGGGACTGACGGGGGGAGCCGGAGTGGAGAAATCCCAGCCCAGGGCGTTCACGGGCCGGGTCTGGGTTTACGCGCGGGTGCCCCCCGGCCCGTGTCGCACAAGCGTGTGCCGGGCCCGGAGTGGTGTGTAGGGGTGTGTGCATTGCACCTTTCCCGGCACATGCGTGTGGGAGCGTGGCCAAGCCGTGTGCGCTGGCGGGCGGGCGGGAGCGGCTCCGGCCAGGCGCCCCGACGCGATGTGACAAGGAGCAGCTGCCTGGCCTGGCCTTGGGGGCAGGGGCGGGGGAAAGACAGTGACACGGGCTGGCCAGGCCGCTCTGGGTCCCCTCCTGGGCCTGGCGCTTCGGTGCCAGCCAGCCCCCCCCCTATTGATCCCAACACCCCCGTACTGGCTCTTAACCCACGGCTCCACTGCCCCCCGGGGCCCCCCATCTTCTGGGCCAAGGCCCTTCTGGCCCCAGGGAGGGAGCTCAGGCTGGCTGGGGGGACGGGGAAGCGCTGGGCCGGGGAGCTGGCTGGAGTGGGTGATGGGGGGAGGGAGCTGGCCTGGTACTTGGTATTCAGGGCAGGCGAGAGGCTGAGCGGAGCCCAATGCGTCTGCAGCAGCGACACCAACGCTGGCACTGCGCCGGTTCGGGCCAGGCGGCTGCGCCCCCCCCCCCGACCCTGCCGGGGGGGTGGGGGGGCTTCTCTCTCTGGAGACAGAGACAGCGCCCATCCCCCTAACAACAGGAGTCAGGAGAGAACCCAGGAGTCCGGGCACCCAGCCCCCCCTGCTCTAACCACTGGACCCCCCTCCCCTCCCAGAGCTGGGGAGAGAACCCAGGAGTCCTGGCTCCCAGCTCCTCTCTATCCACCCCTGGGTGAGTACGGCTCTGGGGAGGGGAGGGTCTCCAGGGCCGAGCAGAGAAGAAAGGGGTGTGTGTGAGGGGGTGGGATGGGGCAGAGGGGATATGGGTGGAAAGGTGGGGTCAGCCCGGGGGATGGAGTTATGGGGCTGGAAGAAGGGGTGGGAAGGTTGGGGTCTGGAGAGGGGGGTGGGCAGGGACGGGCCATGGGGGGCGGGGGGCAGATGCCTCCATCTAATGATCTCCCCACCCCCCAGGTGCCTGTGAATCTGGGGCAATCCACCCCCATACCAAGGCTCCAACCAACACCCCCCACCCCAGGAGAAGAATCTCTGAGCCACATCCCCCCCCATGGAAACGCCTGGCCCCCGATTTCCCAGCTGGGCTCCTGCACCCCAGGCCCTGAACCCTGCCCCGCGGAGCACGGTGGTGGCTGGTCTCTCCTGCTGATCCTGGAGCCGCCTGGAGGGGGCACCCTCGAGGGCCTGTCCCCCACCCCGCATGGTTTTGGCAGCGTCCAGCATGGGAGACCTGGGCGCTTGCCCCCGGCCAGCCCCGACTCCCCGGAACTGGTACTGACCCCCCGCCGGGCCGGCGCCCTGCCTCCACTTCCAGAACCAGCCACCCCACCTGCACCCAGAGCCCGCAGGAGACGGAGGCTGCTGAGCAGGTGAGTGGGGAGGGGCACGTGCCGGTCTGCGGAGCCCACGCGTCGCTGCATGAACGCGGGTCTGGCACCCAGCAGATGAGCCCCACGCTTCGCACGTGGGCGTAGCTGCTTCAGACCGTAGGAGGGCGGGCAAGTTCCGGCGCATGTGAGACTGGATGGCCCTCGGGTGGACATGTGTTTGTGTGGGTGGGCGTGCAAATGCACAAGTGTCTGTGCGGGCATGAGTGTGCAAACGCATGTGGGTGTGGGCATGGGCGTGCAAAGGTGCATGTTTGTGTGTATGTGCAAATGCACTCGGGTTTGTGTGCATGCGGGTGTGAAAACACACATATTTGGGTGTGTGAATGCACATGTGTTTGGGTGTGCACATGTCTTCATGGGTGTACTTGTGCAAATGCAGATGTGTTGGTGTGCACATGGGTGTGCAAATGCAAATGTTTGTGTGGGCATGGGCTTGCAGATACACACATTTTTGCATGGGTATGCATGTGCAAACACATGTTGGTGTGGGTGTGTACATGCACATGTGTTTGTGTGGGCACAGGCATGCAAATGTGCCCGTGTTTGTGCCCGTGCGAGTGCGTGAGGCAGGGGTATGTGTGTGCCCCCCGGCTGTGCTGCCCGGGGCTCGCCCTGTCTCGGCTGGGCTGGCTGGCGGGGGCGACGCTGGCTGGGCCTGCCCGAGGGCAGCTCACCGGCTCTCTCCCTGTGGTGGGCAGATGGTGCGGCACCATGTCAGGTGACTATGAGGAGGACGTGTGTCGTGGCGCGCTCACCCTACTCAAGGAGCTCTGCTTCTCCCTGCGGGCGCTGGAGCAACACGAGAAATGCCTGGAGTTCACCGACCTGCTGCGCAACCGGGGGCACCCCCCGCCCACCGACTCGGGTAAGGGGTGCGGGCAGGCTGCAGGGGGGCGGGGTTATGTCTGCATTCGGTGAGGGCTGGGAAGGTGCCAGGGGGTGATGGGATATTAAGGGGAACGTGGTTGTGTCTACGTGCCGGGCGGTGATGGGATATTACAGGGGGACGTGGCCGTGTCTACGTTCCGGGCGGTGATGGGATATTACAGAGGGACGTGGCCGTGTCTACGTTCCGGGCGGTGATGGGATATTACAGGGGGACGTGGCCGTGTCTACGTTCCGGGCGGTGATGGGATATTACAGGGGGACGTGGCCGTGTCTACGTTCCA